GCGCAGCTTGTTAACCAGTATTGTGAATGATAGTGAACAGCGACACGCGAGCGCAACTGCTCACACAACAACCCCACAACCCATTTCCGAGACCCCCGTTGCCGCCTCATCCTGAAGGCATAATTTGAGGTTGTGGATGCAAACGCCAATTGGTCACGAAACGTATGCCCGACGCATCCGCACACGTTAGCAATAGGTTCATAACTTCTCCGAAGCGCATGCTTTGTTGGAACACCTGCCACCCTTCTCTTCACTCAGTATTCGCAATGGGCTTCGAAAACGCCATCCAACTATCTGAGCCACACCACATACTCCTTTGCACCAGGAGTTACAGCACCCCGAGCACTGTCCGAGGCGTTTCCCACCCAGCCAAACATGTTTTCCAATGTGCTGCACACGTTTGCTAAACAAGAAAAGCGCCTGAAAAATTCACCCTGGCCTGACTGGTAGGACGATTGACTGCCGGGTGAGCCGGATGAGTCCTCAGTTTTACGCCAAGTCCGGTTTCATGCAGTGAGCAGAGCTTCGCCTCCATTACAGCTGATGAGTCCAAAAACCTTAGAATGTGCACAACTCTAGAACAACCAGTCCACTTGCCGTTGCATCAACACATACACTGCCGTCCCTGCGCTCGCTGTTTCTCAACTGCATGGAGCATGTCACTACAACACGAGATGTCTGCTGCAACTTTACCACTCGCCCTCCCTCGCAGTAGTTCTGAGGAATTTTTTGTTAGTACACAGCCATATTCAACTCCCACGAGCCACCATACACCGAACAACGAACATTGCCGCTGTATCTTGCGGTAGAAAAATATCTTTTTCTCATACAATTCGATCTCACCCCCTGCAGAACGGCATGCTAAGTCGGACTTGGCCAGAGTGCGGCACACACCATAATCACTACCACCGCAACACCGCAGGGAGAGGCCATCTATTTCCGAAGCAGCCCTAGCAACTGATGCACATCACATTTATTCAGCACAGTGGCTGTTTTCCTTATCCGTAGTGCTGGCACTGAAGGGGAAAGTAACTGTTATAAGTGAATTATTTCTCCGCTTTTCAACCAATATTCGGAGCACGGTGCCAAAACACCATCCAACTGCCTCCGCCACACCACCCCACCCTGCGCCCCAGTAGCAGCAGCTCTGTGAACCTCTGTCTAGCAAGTCGCCACCCTGTCAAACGGGTCCTGCATTGCACTGTACACTTCCTGAACAGGGCACGCATCAGATGACAAACGCACGCAACCTTTCTTTACACGCAAGTTATTCCTCCCGTTCACATGCACGTCTTTACATATCCATGGCAAATGCACTCGACAGCATCTACTAGTACCTTCACCACGAATGTATCCAACCACAAACCATACTATGGACAGTTAAGTGCCGTTACTGATTCAGCGCGTTGCTGCGGGCACCTGCGGAAACCACAATCTGTCAAAAGTCTCAGCACTCTCTGGTCTTAAGGAGGAAAGTTTCCTGTACAAGCATGAGGACAGAACGATGTTGTCCACGTCGCCCAAACTTACCTCCTGCCGACTCTCATGCGAATACACAGTATTCCGCAGAGTGCACTGGACTGCCAGACAGGCCAGCTCAAACTGCAGGTGGAGGCTAGCAAACTGGAATGTGCGGCCAACAAGCGTTTGCATATTACGCTTGTCGCACATCGTCGCAAACTCCGTTCGCTAAGTGTGCAGAGCAAATAGCATGCCGGTGGAAGAAATGCCCACTGCGTTCGCATCCGCACTTGCACCTGTCGTCTTGGCAAACGTTCTGTCACACACTGAAAATTCAGCAGAACTCAACACCGGATGGGCGTCAAAAGTGGAGTTGAAAGATTTCACGGAGGATATCGGTGAATATGTTCCTCCTCCAAAGTAACACCTGGAGAGGGAATGCATGCATCGTAACGCCTCAGGCTGGTTTTCTTCTGCATTGCCCTACAGAGAGGCATCCACGGCTTGTCGAAGAGCTAACCGCCGAACTCTGCGCTGATGCTCTACAGCCAGCTCGTACAACCAGCCTGCCCTTCTGCACACGTTCCACTGAATGCGGCCACCGCAGCCCTTGATGTCGGGGACGTATGGGTCGCTCACACGATCGAAGACACACACGTTCTCCCTGATGGAGTGCGCCACATCGGTACTGCACCAGTGTAGGACAGGAACGGTGCTTCGTGCAAAGTGTTCGTTTGGAAGCAGCACCAACCTTCGCGTAGAACTCTGCCATGAACGTACTAGCATGATCCATCAATCCTGCAGTTCTACTATTATAACACAATGCAGTCCCGGATATGCGTGTAATCACAGAACATGGTGGTTCTGTCTTTTGCGGGGATATCATGGTGGCTCTGTTTTCGGAGGCTGTCGCTCCAAAAATAGGCGCATGGTAACCGCAGTTGGCGCTGTATGGCCAACATAGTAACTACGATGAGAAAGCAAACCCAATTGTCAACGGACCTGCGCTGTGTTCACTCGCGGAACCGGTGGCCTGATTGGGCCTTAGCGAAATGCATAATGGGACGGGCGGGATGGAGTTTAGACTGCTCAGCTTTTAGACTACGCGGGGTCATCCAGAGTTTGGCTCTTCGGCCATTTGACACACTTAGTAAAAACAGGAGCACCCACACTTTACGTATGATTCCTTTTGCAGAGGCTCTTTGGGTTTAATCTCCAGTAGCAAGGCAACCAAGCCCCTGGCTTGGGCTTGGCACTGGCGGCGGCCTGTTGAATACTTACGGAACACATATTGTCGGCTCCGGATGCCAGCCTTCGAGACGTCAGTAAGCCTTCATGCTTTCTACTGGATGATATGGCAATGAAACAGCGCATGATGAGGAATCCCATGACAAAAGCTACTGCCAAGGAGGATATTGCAGTGAAACACGGATTTTCGCGCCGTATATTTCGCACCATGGTGGCGATGGCACGAACAGGTGGTTCGGTTGGCAAATTGTTTTTCTGGGAAATCAATTCGTCTTGCAGTCCATCTGGGTCGGCGATTACCATTGTAATGGGGAGTGTAGAAAAGAGAGCGAGCAGTTTGGAGTGGCACATTTTCGTGAACGGAACAAAGGTGTAGTCTTCAGTGACGGTGAATGCACAATCAAGTGTTGAAACTAGTAAATATCCAGTTGAAGAGTGCAGACTTAATTGTGTGGCTATGCGCATTCACTTCCTCGGCTGGACAGCCTACTCGTTCAAAAATCATGTCAGTTGGGCCGGTCGCACCGATACGAGATACGACGAGATGGCGAGCCTGGCGGCTGTCGCTCCAGTTAGTCGAATGCGGGTGCTTTCACCATAGAGTTTTTAATGCTTTTGCAAGCATTAACGTGTAATGTGTAAAAATTAGCTGTTATGTAAATTTGTAAATAGACCCCATGCAGCATCTCTCCATAACACCTTGCGAATATGCAAATGCACCAATTGCCGTGCACATCGGCGGCAGCCACTTCCCTCAAACAACAGGGAGATGTATCTGTATACATTTAAGGTATAAATGGGACAGATTCATCAAGTATATTTTTGTATTATTTCACGTGCCCTTAATGGTGGGCCTGGTGTTGCTGGTGGCTGCCTCCCCCTGTGTACCTCCCGGATGTCGCCTGCTGGTGAAGTTTGGCGTCCAAAGAAGCGTGCAAATGAGTTCTACCCAGCAATTAATAGTTGCCATTGAAGAAATATAAATTATTAAAGTGCAAGCAAACGTATTCTTCTTGGGTAGTGCGTGTCTGCTTGTAGCTACCCAAACGCTGGTCCTTCGATGGCACTGTGGGGCCGTAGAAGCTGACTTCACCTCACGTTGTGAAACATTGAACATTATGCATCATCAGCTCATATATTCTGCGAAGATTCGTTCGTAGCTGCTATCGTGCCCCGGGGTGCACTGCCGCAGCTCCTTTGTAGGCTGTGCTGCCGCTGCTTCGAGTTTGTTCTGGAAGGCAAGTGCTGGCGCGCCCTAACTGCATTAAAAGGCGGTAGCAGCCAGGGTCAGTTGCGTCAGTTGCACTTGCTGTAACACCCTGTGACTATCAGTACCCCATCGTTTGGCTCTTTAAGGCATCCTAGTCTCTAGCCTGGGTGTTCGGGCACTCACATCAGTGGCACGCACGCTGTGAGGAAATAACGTAAGTAAGCGTAATAATTCAACAGAATTTTTTGATTAACTGCAATTATAATTTCGGCTACTGGGTATGAATCTGGTAGAAATAAAGACCTCACTGACTAAATTGCAAATGGCCTACACTTGCTACAGAAGTATCATTTTGTCTGTTTCGCGTGATGATGGCGCATACATCTGGCAACATATTAGCCTAGGTAGCAGCAAGACATCCAGCTTCTGCTGATGTTAATAGCCCACCTATTCACTAGTTACATAGGAGCTCTTGGCGAAGCGTGCTCTGCCACGACGAAGTGTTCCAAGCATTCTGTTATATTTGACGATCATTCATATGGCAGCCCCAGTTTGCATCTTGCAAAGCACTGAAGCTGCACGAGTAGCCTGTTTTGCATTTTCAAATCATTGTATTGCAGAGCGCACGTGGCGTTTATGCACAGCGTGCTTTGGCATGTATGCGTTAGCTATGAGACCTGCATGTTAGCTTCCATACACCCCTATTAGCCGGCGTTTTAATATTCTCTGCAGAGCACGTGTGCTTGTGCGCGTTGAGGGGAATTCGTAACTGGGTCGTGACACCACAGGTTTGCTGCAGCGTAACCTATGTTCAAATTCAAATTGAGCTCAACTCTATACTCAAGTATAACAACACTCCGAAACCCACTCTCCTACGTCCGTCGTGTTCTTGTAGCGGCTGGACAGCGTACGGACTGTTGTGTGCTTTCTATGTTGTTGTTGAACATTTCAAGCCAAATCCAAATAAGTACAAACTTCAGATTTCACGTTACAATGCAAGCTGAACAAACGAGCGTATCGTCATACTTAGATGCAGCGCTAAGCCAGCGCTAAGCCCCAAAATCGTTAGTAGCAGTAGGAAATGCCAAATGTGTATGTGCGAAGTAAGTGAATAGGTCGTCATGAGCACTTGAACTTCTCACTGAATTGCAGAGAGGTGCTTTTAACTTAAATGCAGAATGATAATCTGTGTGTCCCTGAAGATCGCGTGATCTCTGGCTTATGCTTCCAGGGTGAACTGTGTTTTGGGTTTGCACTTTTCCTTCCGCAGTTTATCCACTTCGGCGGTAGAAAACGGCCTCGGATTTGGCAGTGGAGTCGACGCAGTTGGCTTCGATGGAAATAATGAACGATCCGGCGGGGTTAAGGAAGTAGTGCGCATTCAAAGCAACGATTCCTGGTTGATTGGGCTGCGCCACAACGGCAAATATAGCGTCAACCATGTCTACCAGCATGCGGCACGTGAGGGGTTGGCGCGCGTCTTCAACGGGACGATGTTCGGTCGCTTCTTGTCCACATTTGTCAAGTCGCGACAAGAACGGTGCGAGAATTCCGCAGCTTAGACCGGCCCTTCAGGGCCTACGACATCGGGGGCGTGGGAAAGAGTTGTACCGTTTGCTGCTCCTACATAAAGCAACTTAGATCCCGGCTTCATCGGCATTTTCGACCCGAAGGCTGAAACCTTTAGGTGGTGGCATGATGCCTGTAAACCAAAGGTACGGCTGCTCGGTCCTCATCAGCTTCAGATCGAACGACTACTAGTGCATCTGGCGCCGCTGATTAGGATATCCAACACTAGCTAGAATCGCAAATAAGTATCACCGCCTAATCGGGAGGTACACAAAGGTGCAGGTACACAAAGTCATTCTGTGTCGTATGCATAGGTGTTTCGGTGCACACTCGCTATATACACGCTACACTCAGCCTTTAGCCCCCAAAATAATCTTCAAAAAAACAGTTCCTCTTTTCTATTCCCCCAGTGGTCGAATCATTCTTCTCGGGAAGATTTATTATCCCCGCCGTTGACCCGGACTGCACGGCTCAGTGCCAGTCTCAGTGCCATTTCCAGCGCTTGCTATCAGTGGAATAGCTTGGCATAGAAGCCTTATCTCCTTTCTAATGTGGCATGGGTTAGCTCTGAGAGTACTCGTTCTCTGAATGCCGGATAACCGCATCGACCTAGAGGTCGATGCGGTTATCCGGCATCCGCCTCTTGCGTATCATTGCAGAGCCTTCGCACCCTAGCAGCACTAAAGTCTAACCTGGACCCAGGATGTACGACTAGCGTGAGCTGCAACCGTGTCAATACTTAGAACGGGCCATCGTCAAAAGCAGCTGACTTCCTTTCCCATTCCCCTGCGGACGAGCAGCCGAAACGCCTGGCGATGCAGGAGTCGTTGCCCGTGTGTCTGCCTGTAGCTATTCTATTGTGGCTTGTTTAATCACGTCTTGTTTCTTTTCTGGATGGTATCGAAATGAGGCGAGACGCACCAATTCATTGTCCAACAACAAGCATTGTGGGGAGGAAAGAAGTCAAATGAATTATCGGCAAAACCAGCGTCATAGCACGCTTTTTCCTCAGGTTAAAAGGCGGAGACAACTAAAGCGAAATCAAGGCAAAATTCAACCACCACGAATAAGGGGCATTAAACTGTGTGTCTGTTTCACTCTCGCTTTGGGCTTTTGGGCCGCTGCTACTTGCTGCTACTTGTAGCCATTGTAACTGTTAGGTAGCCTACATCATTCCCTCTCATGTCCTTCCTGCTCTTCTGCCAGCATGCGTTTTGGTCTTCCCCCGCTTCTATATATGCCTGTTCCGCTGCCACTGCTAGCGCTCCTGCTTGCCTTCTGCCCCGACGATTTCGCCCCATCGTGCATTGCTCCGCCAGGATTTGTACGTGATCTCGGCGTTTCGGAATGGCGTAATATTTAGGGTTTAGTGTTTAATCCTTCGGATTTAGGTTCTTGGATTTGGGGTCCGCCGATGCAGGGAAGGGCAGTAACCCATTTTGAATTAAGGGGTTCAAAAGCTCGAACCATTCTTTGAGGTGCGGGTTTAGGGATTAGACCACATGGTTCATTCGCTCTTAGCCTAGCAGCTCCCGAGGGTTTAGAATTTCAACTGTACATTCCATCTAAACCCAACTAGATCCGTGTTGGTGTGTGTGGATGCATACAAAATGGTTAGCATCCCTTCGGCAACAAGCGTATTAGCCATATTTATTGATGGCTGGTAAAAGGAGAGCACACAGCGCTAAATGTAAGTTTGCCAATATTTAATCGATTGCTCATTTTTGGAATATCTAAAAATATTTCAAAGGCCACCACAGTGGCGCGTGAAGACGAAGCCAAGCGGAACTCCTATATCTTGGGGAACGGCGAAACAAAGACGCTGCCCTGTAGAGAGTGACGACCAAATGTCGTTCTGAGCTTCCATATGCAGACCTCACGGCAGCTCAAGCCAGCGAAACACTGAATAATAGTAGACGTTCCAGCGAAGATGTGTCAGGAAAAATTGTTTAGTAAGCGGACTAGCACTTTAGAAGTAGGCGTTGCAGCGAAAGCGCGTCGATAGGAAAACTTGTTTAGTAAGCGGATTAGCACATCTAAAAATACAAACTAATAAATTTTAAACACGCAAAACAAGAGTCGATCAGTTTTGGGGGCGAGGGAATCAGGACATTAGAGCGGTTGCAAGAATGTCGGATGACATCTACCACACAAATGCGACGACTTCAACATTGCCTGCCAGATGCGCTCTCAATACTTACTTACTGGGTCAACGAGGAGGATGCCAAACCCGAGGCACCGCTAACGCAGTTACAGCCACTTTCCATATGGATGCTATACTTCACGAATTGTGTCGCCCCCTTGTGAATCTAGAGTAGAATTTAGTACAAAACAGTCAACGTACTGTGGCAGTCTTAAGGGAGCTAACGTTCCAGGTTAGCCGATGGAGGGACCTCTTATATGTTTCCGCGAGAGACATCTAGTTCCAGTTTGCCTGATACCGCATACTGAATCGCTTAAAACAGCATGGCACTTGCATACAAATCGGCCTGGATTCTTCGTCACCAAAATTGAGCTCATGTACAATTATGGAGAACGAAGAAGTATGCCGGGAAGTTCAGATATGTACAGGAGTGGTAAAACACCTCTCAGGGATGTAAGCACAAAAAGTGGAGTTGCACCTCCGCTTTCCAAAGTAGAGTGTTTCGCGAGTGCCGTATATAGCATAGGGCTCTCTCCCGGCATCTCTTGAGAGCTATCGTATGTCATGTTGGAAATGTAGGGCTTGGGATTGGTGAAGCTACTCTCTCCCTTGCTATATGGTATACGTCAAGAAAGTAATCTCTCAAGGCGCACAAAGCCATGCAGATCACCCACTGCGCAAATGCATAGAAACGCATCACCTCTGTTAGTAGTAATTAAGTGAACACTTTCAGGAGCACCATATCAGCAACAGACCACACTTCCACTGCAATGTATTCCATTCAGGGAGACGTCTGTTTTTCGTGACTAGTGTGGACCCAGTTGTAATTCGATCATTTGCCATTCCAAGCAGAGGTTCCACTCGAGCAACCGAATTGTCATACAGGGCAACTATACAGTGCAACGATAGAGCGTCTAGGTCCTGAAAGCAGTTCCAATCGAAACGCACTGCGTGCACCATCTGCCAGAATATCAGTTGTTCCTTGCAGTGGTGAGCTGGAACCCAACCAAGAGTGCTGTCTTCACGCACCAGGCCTGCGAGATAACACTATCGGATTATTTCTACGCACATTCTACTCCATACAGGCGATTTCCGATATCCAAATAGTGACTTTTCGTATGGAGAAACCTCGCGGACAAGGGATATAACATTACGCACAGGCGAGTGAACTGCGCTTTGCGACGTACTGTAATGTCAATGGCAGTGCCGTCTCCATGAGACTGCTTACAACTTTACGAAATACAGCGAGCAGAAAGCTCGCGAGTAACAGTTGCAGCCTCTTGCACTCCCCACTCACAAACTTCTGAACCAAAAGGGTGGATTATACTGTGCTAAAACGTTGGTATATCGCATCTTCTTAACCTCGCTGTAGCACCTGGTGCATCCCAACATCATCCTGCGCATGCCCAAGCTTGCTTTGGCATCAAGCGGAATTCTGCAACAAAACATTTGTTGCGTTAGGTTCAGCGGCGGGTCTGTATTGCACAGTCTACATTTTCCCGAGGGCCTTTCTTAGACCAAACATGTGCGTACATTTTCCCGAGTGCACAAAGTCTTTCTACACTTCAGCAGAAAATTCGTTTCTTCCTTGTCTGTGGTGTAAAACAGTCTGATTCCAAGCCCATACTCCCTGTAACATCGTCAATTTAATCGTCTAGCAAAGAAACATTCCTGTCTTCAATCTCATAGGCATAGTCGCTGTTGAGGAGAGATCATGCACATAAAGCGATGAGTTCATACCCAGGTAGCTGGAACGTTTGGTGATAGCTGCCTAGACGTAAAACTGTGCTTCGGCAACATAATATTTTGCACAAACCGCGTCTCTCCATGTCGCGTTCACGAGGTTTCATAGGCATATTTTCCAGCGAGCGTTTAGGTGGGCACAGGACCTCGGGAAACTCACAGTCTGTGCAATTGAACACGTACAACTACTACTTGTCAGAGACGATAACAATTCTGGACTATCGTTGTTCCGGAAATGTTTTGCTGCAGCCACACGTGATGCGACAGTTGCATTTTTGTCAATGTGCTGCGCAAGCTACGGCTTCCCAGGAAGTTGATGGAAATTCATTAGGACTTGCAAACGCTCTGAATGCAGATCCAGCCGACAATTGCCTACTTGCTGTGCAGCACATTGATTTGAGAGAGCTGCCTCTGGTTGGTGACTCTATCTAACTAACAGCATAATGATATTGACTCAAATGCTTGCAGAAACATTGGGGACTCCTTTAGACGGTTTTCGACAACGGAAACCGTCTAGTCAGCCGCTGAAGGGAACCGAGACTGCCATGGTGCCGTGGTCACTATCTCTAGGCTACCAACTTCTGTCAAAACCAACTGCAGGTAGCCCCAGACACCTAAATGCAGTTTGTCTTCTGGAATGCGTGCGGGCTGAGCTAATCACGAACGTCCGTCTGCCGGAGAGAGCCAAACAGTGCCCCGTTGCCTACTATCTGGTGTGTCGGGCTCCGCAAGGTATCCGGAGCGGTTTGCTCGTTACCCCCGGACCCTTATAGACCCATCGGTGGCTGCCTACCACATATAGCATAGCCAGTATGGTTTAGGAATGCTTGCATTGCCAATGTGCGTATTTCCACCTGGAACCACCACTTTTTATACTCGTCTAATTATCACTGTAAGCATTCTCTAGATAACAAGGAATGCCTCCCACCTACGCTGTGTTTCCTTTGTGGACAAGTGAATTTCGGCTCACATCCTAGATGCATGATCATTGTGAATATGCAGTCAATGTTGTTTCAAATGGCACTAAGGCGTTGCCTTGATTCTCTGCAGGTAGGTGAGTTGAGTACAGCAAAAATAATGCTTGTTCAAACGAATCCGCGCTAACAC